TGAACAAAATAAACAAAAATCCTGACCATCACAGAGCTTATATTCTTGTAAGGATAAATGACAAAAGACAAGATAAAGTCAGTCAAATATATGGTATACTAAATAGTGGTAGGTACTAAGGAAAATAATACAGCAGAAAAGGGGTTAGAAAATATGAAAGAAAAGGGCTACGGAATACATATTGAGAAGGTAACATATGGGTCAAGACCTGAAAGAATGAAGCCAACCATGGAAATATCAAAAGGAAGAACAATTTAGGTAGAAAGGTCAGCAAGCACAAATGCTCTGATGTAGAAGCATGCCAGTATGTTTGAGGAACAGCAAGGAGGTCAGTGTGGGTAGAGAAAAAGGAAAAGGAGTAGAAGATGAAGTAAGATAATTAGCAGGGTATGGGGAGGGGAGTCAAATTATGTGGGGCCTCATGGGTCATTTGTAAGGAATTTGGCTTTTCCTTTACTCTGAGTGAGAAGAAAAGCCATTGAAGAATTCAGAATGGAAGAGTGTAAGATGTGACATATTTCAATAGTATCACTTTGGCTGTTTTACTGAGATAAGACCAAAGGGAAAAGACAGTGGAAGCAGAAAGACCAGTCAGGAAACTACTGTTATAATCCAGCAAGAGCTAGTGGTAGCTTGGATCAATGTAGTGGCAATGCAGAGTGTAATAAGTGGTTATATTCTGTATATCCAACAGGATTTGCCAAAGAGATGGGAGAGGTCATAAAACCAAAATAAAGCAACTATAGAAGTAGGATGAAAACCAGGCAAGTAAGGTGTCCTACAAGCCAAGCAAAGAAAAATTTCATGAAGAGAGTGATCAACAATCTTAATCAAATAAAGGACTGATGAAACTGATCAGCAACTATAGAGCTGAAAACCTGATTAAAGTGTGTTCCAGACAAAAAGAAAAAATTGAGACATTTTATACAGACATCTTAAAAGTGTTTTTGCTGTAAGGGGTGGGGGGAAATGAGGCAGTGTCTGGAGAAGGAAGTAGAAAGAGATCTTTTTTTTTAAGATGGGAGAAAATATTATGGGCTAGTGGGAATGATCTAAAAATAGAGGAAAAATGGGAGCAAGTTCAGTTGCACCAATATGGATACGTAGGCGCAGATGGGGCATGTCCTTGGACTTAGAAAGCAGGACATCTGGCTTGGTGAGTGGGAACCTCTGTGTAACATGCGACCAAAGAGCAATTTAAAAATGAATGATGTTGAAAAGGGCAAGAAGATTTTTGTTCAAAAGTGTGCCTGGTGCCATACTATGGGAAAGGGAGGCAAGCACAAGACTGGGCCAAATCTCCATGGTCTATTTGGGTGAAAGAAAGGTCGGATCCCTAAATTTTCTGCCAATAAGAACAAAGGCATCACCTGGGGAGAGACGGAGTATTTGAAGAATCCCAAGAAGTATATCCCTGGAACAAAAAATGATCTTTGCTGGCATTAAGAGGAGTGCAGAAAGGGCAGACTTGGTAGCTTATCTCAAAAAAAGCTACTAATGAGTAATAGGTGGCTACTGCCTTATTACAACAAACGTCTTATGACACTTTTTATTTGTACCATATTTAAATTGATCTTATACACCAGGAATCAGATCATGAACAGCTGGTAAAGCATTTCTTTTGGGTAGTTCTGATTTAAATAAGATTAGCATGTGGTTAAATTAATATAATCAGCATTTTGAAACTTGATGGTAATTTTGGTTCAGCAAGTGCTATCATTGTTTCCCGCTTCCAAAAATATGACTGGCCTTGATTCATAATGTTTAACTTTTCACAGAGATGGTGAATGCCATAAAAAACCCTGTAGGGGATTGGCTTTTATACTTAGATTTCTACAACTGGTGTATTAATATGTTTAAATTCTGAGGAAATCCCTTTTTTATTTCTTAGACCAGCAAGACTTGCTTGTATTTCAAGTTGTGCTCATTAGCAAGATATGCTGGCAACGTCCATTTTATCATTTTGGTCCTAACTATGCCAATTCAATTAAAATTCCCTATCTAAACTGTTGCCTTTTACTTAATAAAAGGCATTTCAGTGTTATTTATGTATAATATCAAATAAAGAACACTTAACACTTCTCACATTTTATAGATGATCTATAGGGTCAGATGCTTTTAAAATTCAGCATGAGCCCTAGTCAGTTTGGCTCAGTGGAAAGAGTGTCAGCCCTCAGATTGAAGGGTCCCTGGTCCAAATCCAGTCAAGGGCATGTACCTCAGTTCCAAGCTTGATCCTCCGCTTGGGGAGGGCCTGTACAGGAGGCAACCAATCGATGTGTCTCTTTCATATAGATCAGTGGTTCTCAACCTTCCTAATGCTGTGAACCTTTTTTTTAAAAATATATATTTATTGATTTTTTACAGAGAGGAAGGGAGAGGGATAGAGAGTTAGAAACATAGATGAGAGAGAAGCATCAATCAGCTGCCACAACCAAGGTACATACCCTTGACCGGAATCGAACCTGGGACCCTTCAGTCCCCAGGCTGACACTCTATCCACTGAGCCAAACCAGCCAGGCATAATGCTGAGAACCTTTAATACAGTTCCTCATGTTGTGGTGACTCCCAACCATAAAATTATTTTCGTTGCTACTTCATAACTGTAATTTTGCTACTGTTATGAATCGTAATGTAAATATCTGATATGCAGGATGTATTTTCATTGTTACAAATTAAACATAATTAAAGCATAGTGATTAATCACAAAAACAATATGTAATTATATATGTGTTTTCCGATGGTCTTAGGCGACCCCTGTGAAAGGGTCGTTCGACCCCCAAGTTGAGAACCGCTGATATAGATGTTTCTTTCTCTCTGTCTCTCCCCCTCCCTTCCACTGTCTCTAAAAAAAAAAAAGTCAATGGAAAAATACCCTCGGGTGAGGATTAACAAAAAATTTTCAACATGACAATATATAGTAGCAAACTTTGCTTATGAATTCTTTAAGTCAGACTAAGTTATAATTCAGGATTGTCTTGAACCAGTTATTCAAAAACAACTATAGAATTACTGTATATATTTGTGATCGGTAATGGTGCTGTTGCCAACTTACTAGAAGGATTAAAGTAGAGAATAGATTATCAACACAAAATTGTGAATTTTGTGATCATAAGGCTTAAGATAATTTTTAAAAAATCACAGATCAAGAAATAAATAAAAGAGAGGGAAAATGACACAGAAGAAAGAGGAAGAACTGCTATAGCAACGAGGAGAAAACTAGTATATAAGTGGGTGAATTGGCTTTAGCTAGGAGTACAGTGAGTTCACCTCTCATAGAAGAAAGAACAGAGCACATGGACACAGATGTTCTCCTCTGATTGCTTCAATTTTCTCAGTGAACTAGAAAGCAAGATGCTAGAAGTGCTAGAGGTTTAAGGAGAAAGGAGAGTGTTATCAGTAGTTGCCTAGAGTATGGACCAGTGAATGGACTGAGTAGCATTAAGGACTCTTGGAGATTAGGGATTATGAATTTAAAGTAAAGCCACAGTAAGTATGGTTATGTTTTTCCCCCCTCTTTGTATGTTGAAATGTATAGGTATAAGGAAGCAATTGAGCACTATATACAAGGCTATGATTACCATGATGACTATAGAATTTAAGCTGGGTAAGGAAAGTTAGACATCAGAAGGATCAGGGACAGTGAAAATAAAATAGGTTTAAAAGACTTAAGATCCCAACAGGCTCAAAGATTTGTAGGAGTAATAGAAATTGTGATATGAAAGGTAAGAGGTGGCAGAGAGTGCAAACTGTGAAGTTGAAATGACGGAGGAACTGAAGTTTGAATAAAGACAAGATCAAGAAGTAAGTAGTGAGATAGGGTAAAAGGCAAAATTTATTGGAGAAGAGGAATTCCAATGTTTGAAGACACCAGTGTACTGAAAGAATTATCCACACGAACACTGAAATCACAAGCAGTATTGAAGCAGAGGCAGTGAATAATTCTTCATTTCTATATATAATGTGAGCAGAGTTACTGTCTTTATTGTGGACTACCTTTTCAAGCAACCTTGTCTAGCAAACAGCCTTAGAAAATGGAGAACGTCTCTCTCCAAAGCAAAGGGTAGGTTTACCTTTAGAATATATTATCTTCCTCCACTTCAAGGGCAGACATGCTTAGTGCCCACTATCAAAGATTCAAGTTCCCTAAGGTTGTGGTTCCTCTGCTATCATTCAATCTACTGTGTATGCAGGTATCACATGGCCCTTTTCAAGTCACACTTTGGAAACTGGGACTTGAGGACCCAGTATAAGCAAATGCTTTTACTTTGGCTACTGCTTTTGCTGCTAGTAATAGTCCTTTGCTTCTGGCCTAGAAATCTCTCCTCTTCTGCTAACATCCATGAAACTGTGATAGTTAACTTATTAGCTTGCAAGTAGGATAAAATCTCAGACCCTTGAAAGTTTTTCATAGAATCTCCAATGAATGGAAGGTGGGAATAAAAGATTATTGCAACAGGATGGGTAGAAGGTGGTATAGTTTAATAACGTGAGATAAAGTTTGGAGATGTTTTAGAAGAGATAATGATCTGGAAAAAGCAATGAGAAGAGAAGCAAGGGAAGACCTCCAGGATCAATGTTATAAAGAAAGCATGAGAGGCAATGTTACAGAAGAGGTTGAAGATAAAGAGAAATTTCCTGATGACTGACCTTGAGCTCCAGGGACATTATGAAAGATTTTCAGGAGACAGAGAGGAGTGGGTTTTGGGGTCAAATCTGGATACACATGGTAAGAGATTCATGACTCTTGGGCTTCTTATGGTGACTTACATGAACAAGAAAAAAGGAGCATGATGAAATTAGTTGTGATTAGTCTTAATCAGATTAAGTTAGTCTACGTGTTTTTGCATCCTTCCTCCCTCTTTTACCCACCCAATACTACTATGGAATGCTTCATTTCTTACTAAACGAAACATCATTTTAGAAAATTTGTAACATACACATTTTTTAAAATGTAAATAGCAAAATTGTTATTTAAATAGAGGCAAATGTTAACTTACTTGAATTAGATCTAAAATGCCAAGTTCACTTTCTGAAGAATCCACACAGAAGACAAAATATAACGTTGCATAATGTCTATAAATTAGTTTGTTGTCAGATCCTCCAATTAATCTAAATGACAAAACAAAACAATTGGAAAATTATAAGAAGAAAATGAAAAACATTTTCATTAGCTCAAGCAAATTGATAATTTACTTAAAAACATTTTATAAAATAAAAGGTAACATTTACTGGCATAGCATTCAAGTGATCTTGTATCAGACTGAGTAAATTAGGTGGTTGTTTTCTTAAAAAATGTCAAGTAAAAGATGTTGCTGCTTCATTTTAATTCATTCATTCATTAAACTATCTACTGAGTATATACTATGTGTCAGACACTGATAGTGGATAAGGAGCAATAAACAAACATTATCAGAGTGGAAAGCACTACATAGAGAATCAAAATAAGACGATACCATATTGATGGGTTCATTACTTCAGATTAGATGTTAAGAGTGATATTTAGGCCAAGATCTAATAATAATGAGGCAGCAATGACAGAATTTAGAGAAGAGCATTTCCGGCAGAGTAACAACTAATAAAAAGGCCATTTCATCAAGAACAAAGTATGGATGTTCAGGGAAGAGAAAGACGGTCTATAGACAAAGAAAGATTAGTAAGCAATGAGGTCAGAAAGAGGGCAGAAATCAGATGACAGGGCATTTGAAAGTGCTTACTAAATTTAATTACATAAGTCACAAGCTTAAGACTGATTAGAAATGAGGGGAGAAAAAAAAAAAGAATGACATTTCTCTTAAGTTGGACAGATTTCCCAACAAAATCTCCAAAAACACATTTTGTTTTGAAATATAAATGCAAAACAACAACAATTGAGCTAAGAGATACTCAATTCTTTCATCAAATGTTTTTATTTATATTTGTTAGAATTACAGCATTTTATAAATAATCTTTCCAAACATCTTACATTTTTCTAAGTACAGTTTAACTATCATAGTTAAGTTTACAATAATTAGTTTATTCATCTTCTCAAAAGACCCTCTAACACTAACATAAAAGCTAACTGAACACTCAAAAAAGGGAAAATGGCATATATTACTTACTCAGTAAAATAACACTGAAACCCTAGCCAATTTGGCTCAGTGGATAGAGCATCAGCCCATGGACTGAAGAGTTGTGGGTTCAATTTTGGTCAAGGGCACATATCTCAGTTGCAGGCTCGATCCCTGGTCCCAGTCAGGCAACCAATGGATGTGACTCTCCCACATCGATGTTTCTCTTTCTCTGTCTCTCCCCCTCCCTTCCACTCTCTCTAAAAATTCAATGAAAAAATATCCTTGGGATAAGGATTAACAGAAAAATAAAATAAAATGGGTAAATAAATTTAAAAAGTAATACTGAATTTATAAGTTCTATAGAAACAATTTATCTTATGTTCTCTAATAGCAAAAGGAGAAATAATTTTTGACAAAAATTTTTTAACTATGCTAGATATGTTTATAGAAAAGATTCAATTAGAAAATATGTATACTTTAAAGATTATCTGACATTATTTTTATAGGTTACTTGAGGCCCAATGCACGAAGATTCATGCAAGAATAGGCCTTCCTTCCCCTGGCTGCTGGCACCACCTTCACTCTGGCCGGAGCCGCCTTTCTGCCTTGGTTCCGGCCCGAAGCTGTCTTTCTGCCTTCCCCCGCTGCCCAGAGGCCAGGAGTGGCTGGGGCAGTGTGGAAAGCCTGTGTTGTTGCCATGGTGCAAGCGTCCTGCCCTGCCCCGGGCCGCTCAGTGCCTGTGTATGCAACTTAACCCGCCATCTTTGTTGGGTTAATTTGCATACTCACTCCTGATTGGCTGGTGGGTGTCACAAAGGTACAGCAATTTGCATCTTTCTTTTTTATTAGTGCAGATTATTGCAATTGTTCCATGAAAGACACAAAAAGAGCACAAGCAGCAGGTTTCGCTTCATCAGAAATCAGCAATTTAGCAGTTGTCTTAAACTTCTGTTTGGCTGTTTTTAAGAAAAGACCAAACTTTTGGTGTTATTAAATGACTATTAATGTTGTTAAAAATGGCTATGAATGTTATTAAAAGAAAGAAAATATATATATTTATCTTTAAAAATATAATTTCATCTTTAAACTACAGTACAATACAGATAAATACTGATACAAATTCTTATATGGAATGCAATACACCATATAAAACCACAGAATTTTAGAAATCTTCTTAGTCCAAATACCAGATAAAAACTGCGATAGAAGATTTTTAAGTAACCTGACCAAAAAAGCCAGCGTGTTAGTGACAAAACTAGGACTAAACCAGATGTGTATTCTCATCTCTAATGCAATATTTGCTATCTACTTTTTATAAGGTTGGAAAAGAATAATCACAAAGTCAGGCCATAATTTATAGTTGAAACAGTGCCTGATTAGATCAATCAAGTTTTTGCATTTCTATCACAAGCAGTGCACTATGGTGGGTGGTAGTTTCTTATGGGATAAGAGATTAAGAGACTGATATGACAGAAAGTAATAGTGATGACAAAGACATTAAATTATAAAGGTGTACAGAGAAATAAAAAAATACAATTAAAATATAAAAACAGAAACCAGGTGTACCTGTCTCAACTATTAAATTGATAGCCATAAGTTAATAGCAAAATTTATAAATATTTATCAATTTAAGGGCAGCATGATATAACCTTTTATGAAATAAAAGTAAACTTTCTACATGGTAAAAAGTAATTATGTTCAGATAAGAATGACTTCTCTATTATCCTATTTTTCATAATATGCATTATGTACCTTAAAATACAAAAGTGTAGGCTTCTTTGACTAAACCTGTGATTATTTACAGTGGGACTCAGTTAAAGTTCAGTTTTTGAATTGTCAATGAGGACATTTCTTAATAAGAAATCAATGATAGCCCTAACCAGTTTGGCTCAGTGGAAAAGCGCGGCCTGTGGACTGAAGGGTCCCAGGTTCGATTCCGGTCAAGGGCATGTACCTTGGTTGTGGGCACATCCCCAGTAGGGGGTGTGCAGGAGGCAGCTTATCAATGTTTCTCATTAATTGATGTTTCTAACTCTCTATCCCTCTCCCTTCCTCTCTGTAAAAAAATCAATAAAATATATTTCTTTAAAAAAGAAATCAATGATATAAACATGGGGGAACATTTATAAAACTATTTGAGAGCACATTATTTTCATGAACCCCATTAATTTAAAAGTATTTATAATAGTTAGCAAGTTAATTATAAGTAATTTTATTTTTTAAAGTTATTTTTGTTGCAGTATGTGTGACATGTAACACTACAAAGTATAAGTAATTCTTAGTTTTTCATTTAAAATAGAAAAATATGTTAGCTGAATTCTAATCTATATACAGAAATGCCTATACATATACACAGTCATAGATTTAAAAAGCAGACTTCAGTCTTGTTTGTAATAATAAAATAAAGTATGTAATCTAAAATTTAATGAACAGATCTATTCACTCTAAGGCAGTGGTTCTCAACCTTCCTAATGCCGTGACCCTTTAATACAGTTCCTCATGTTGTGGTGACCCCCAATTTCATTGTTACAAATTGAACATAATTAAAGCATAGTGATTAATCACAAAAACAATATGTAATTATATATGTGTTTTCCGATGATCTTAGGCAACCCCTGTGAAAGGGTCGTTTGACCCCCAAAGGGGTAGCGACCCACAGGTTGAGAACCGCTGCTTTAAGGAATAGCCTGTAGTCATTACAAAGAATGAAGTTGCTCTAGATACGTTTATATGGCAAAGCTTTTCAAATTACTAAGTGAAAACAAGAAATATGCAAACTAGCATACATAGTTTGATCTTAAGATCACACTTTTATATGTTAGTCAATGCAAAATTAATTTTCTAGAATGACACACAAGAAATTGGGAAGGAGGACTAAAATTCGGAGAGACTCTAATTTACATTTTACATTTTATACTTCCTTATAATGTTCAAATTTTCACCATATACATATATTGCCTTATATAAAATCCTATGTAATAAAGATGTAATATGCAAATGGTTGTTACACTGTGAAGGGTTAACGACCAACCGTGTAAGGACCGGATCAGGGATCAGCAGGAGGGTGGGGCAGTGAGATACAAGCGGGCAGAGAGCTACAGGAGGGGGCAGGGCAGCAAGCTATGAGGGAAGGGGCAAGGGGGTGGAGGGAGCTACAGGAGGGCGGGGCAGTGGTTGGAGAGCTACAGGAGGGTGGCAGCGAGCTACAGGAGGGGGCAGGGCAGCAAGCTATGGGAGTGGAGGGCGGAGGGAGCTACAGAAAGGCAGGGCAGTGGGTGGAAAGCTACAGGAGGGGGCAGGGCAGCAAGCTATGAGGGAGCGGGGGAAGCTACAGGAGGGCGGGGCAGCGGGCAGAGAGCTACTGGAGGGCAGCAGCGAGCTACTAGCACATGGATTCATGTGCAGGGCTACTAGTACTTTTATAAAATTCTTAAAAAGAATAAACAAGATTGCATATCTTTAAAAAAATTTTTAAAGTATATTTTTATTGATTTCAGAGAAAAAGAGAGAGATAGAAACATCAATGATGAGAGAGAATCATTGATCGGCTGCCTCCTGCATACCCCACATGGGGGACTAAGCCCGCAAACCAGGCAAGTGCCCTGACCAGAAATTCAACCGTGATCTCCTGGTTCATAGGTTGACGCTCAATCACTGAGCCATGCCAGTCAGGCTAAAAAATTCTTTAAGTTAGATTTATAGCTAACATAGGTGGCAATTAATTCACCTGATCAAATTAATTAAAATTAAAAAAACTTTTACCATAAACAGATTAAACAGTATATATTCTAAACATACAAAGATTAGAATTGTCTATGAAATGCTTTACTTACAATCCTCCTTCTAAGAAATTACAAACATTTTCATCTCTCTTAGATACCAAATGGAATGTCTCCCTGATGATTTGCTGTTGTGTATCTTCACTCTGAGAAAGAATAATTCATATATGTTAGGATTGGATTTGTAGGTTTAACAGCATTTAAAATTTTTAAAAATAGGTTTCTGGTTAAGATGGTGGAGTAGTAAACACTGTGCTTGTCTCCTCCCATGACCACATCAAAATTACAAAGAAACTATAGGAAAACCATCATTGAGAACCTTCTGAAGGCTAGCTAAGGATATACTGAAGTTCCATAACTAAGGATATACTGAAGAAGCCACATGGAGTCAAGGGGGCGGGGGGTGAAGATGCCAAATGGGCTGGTCCCACACCCACATGTGGGGGCTAAAAATCGAGAGGGATATCTTGGCTGCTTAGGTGCCACCTGAGAAGCGAGGGGTCCCAGCTCCAAACTAGGCTCTCCAGACCAGGATTCCAGGGTTGGGAAGAGAAGTCCCCATAACTTCTGACTATAAAAACCAGAGGGATTGTGGCTGAGTGAGATGGAGGGTTGCTGGAGTTCCAAGCATTTGTCTTAAAGGGCTGGCACACAGACTTACTTGCTGACAGATTCACTCGCTGTGGGGAGGCAACTCAAAAGGTTCCAGGGACATACGGAGCAGACTGATTTATCTGGCTTCAGAATGAGGGCTGGAGGGGCAGCTTTTGCCCAGACAGAAGTGCTGGCAGAGAACACTGTTCCTTTGTTGATCCCTCCCTCAACCCAGCCTGCACTTGCAGGTGGGTGCTGCATCTGAGCCTCCATCCACCTAGCTAATAGAGTTAACCCAACCCTGGTGATTCCCTGAGACCCCACCTCACCCAACTTGCAAGTACACCCAAGCTGCTCCCAGTGGCTTTTCCATACAAACAGCCTGTCTTGGCTCATGCTTCAGGCTTTCCCAAAATCTCTTAAAGATTTACAAACTCCAAAGCAGCATCTGTCCTTACTGTGCCCTGTGTCTCTTGCAAAGCAGCCCAAGCCTGACAATAGTGGTAGCCAGCCTCAGTCACCTTAGCCTCTCCCAGGCACCTCCAAACCCAGTCAAGGGGCAACTATCTGTAGATCACTTTGCAGCTCATACCAAGTAGCCCAGATAGGGCAAAGCCAACAGCTAACTTTGGCCTGCACCAGAGTCCCTCCCAACAACTTTAAAGGTTGGGACACACTCGAAGTGCAGACTTTGCAGGCGTCAGAATCCTAAAGCAAATCCTGCTCTGTAGGGCCAACCTCTGCACAACAGCTCCTCCACTGTGGTCAGAGCCAGTCCTCACAACCAATCAGCCTGAGGGTCAATCTCTCCCATTGATGTGCCAACAGTAATCAAGGCTCAACTACAACAGGAGGGACACACAACCTACACGACTGGCTCACTGGGCCCCTCATGACACTTAGTCCATAAGGTCACTCTATCAAGACCAAGAAACATGGCAGCTCTACCTAATACACAGAAGCAAACACAGGGGAATAAAGAAACATGTCCCAAATGAAAGAACAGAACACAACTCCAGAAATAGAACTAAACAAAATGGAGACAAACAATCTACCAGATGCAGAGTTCAAAACACTGGTTATAAGTATGCTCAATTATCTCAGTGAGATCAACAAAAAGACAGGAAACATAAAAATGGAGAAAGAAAAGATAAAAAAGAATAGTCAGAAATGAACAATACAATAACTGAAATGAAGAATACATCAGAGAAAATTAACAGTATATTAGATGAATCAAAGGACTGAATCAGCAATTTGGAAGATAAGGTAGGAGAAAACACCTAATCAGTATAGTAGAAAGAACCCAAAAACAAAATAAAACAAAAAGACAAGTATTGTTTCAGGGGCCTCTGGGACAACTTAAAGCACACCAACATTTGCATCATAGGAGTACCAGGAGGAGAAGAGAGAGAGCCAGGGATTGAAAAACCTATCTGAAGAACTAATGACTGAAAACTTCCATAGCCTGGCAAAGGAAATAGACATATAAGCCCAGGAAGCACAGAGTCCTAAACAAGATGAACCCAAAGAGGCCCACACTAAGACACATCATAACTAAAATGCCAAAGGTTAAAGACAAAGAGAGACTCTAAACAGCAGCAAGAGAAAGACAGATAGTTACCTAACTATAAGACTGTCAGCTGATTTCTTAACAGAAACATTTCAGGTCAGAAAGGATAAGCATAATGTATTCAAAGTGATGAAAAGCAAGGGACTACAACCAATATTATTCTACCCAGCAAAGCTATCATTTAGAATCAGCGGACAGATAAAGAGCTTCCCAAACAAAAAAAGTTAAAGAAATTCATCACTACCAAACCAGTGTTACAAGAAATGTTAAAGGGATGTCTTTAAGAAGAAAGGAAAAATCAAAATCATGAATAATAAAATGTCAACAAGTACATATCTACCAACAATTACTTTAAAAGTAAATGGATTAAATGCTCCAATCAAAAGACATAGGGTAGCTGAGTGGATAAGTAACCAAGACCCTTACATATGCTGCCTAAAGAGACTCACTTCAGATGGAAAGACACACAGAGACAGAAAATAAAGAGATGAAAAAATAAATTTTTTGGAAATGGAAATTGAAAAAAACAAACAGCTGGAGTAGCAACACTTATACCAGACAAAATAGACTTTAAAACAAAGGTTATAACAAAAGACAAAGAAAAACCCAGCAATTTCACTTCTTGGTATTTATCCAAAGAAATTCAAAGCACTAATTCAAAAAGACAGAAAAATCGTTATGTTCACTGCAGCATTATTTACAATAGCCAAGATATGGAAGCAACTTAAGTTTCCACCAATAGATGAATGGATAAAAAAGAAAGGAAGGGTACATATATACAACGAAATATTACTCAGCCATAAAAATGAATGAAATCTTGACATCTGCAACAACATGGATGGACCTAGAGCATATTATGCTAAGTGAAATAAGTCAGCCACAGAAAGGCAAATACCATATGATTTTACTTATATGTGAAATTTAAAAAAACAAAATAAATGAACAAATGAAACAAATTCATAGATACAGAGAACGTTTTGATGGCTATCAGATGGAGGGAGGTTAGAGGAATGGGTAAAAAAGGGTAAGAGATTCAGAAGTACAAATTGCTAGTTACAAAACAGTCAATAAAAAGCATAAGCTCAGGTGAGGATTTAAAATAATAATAAATAATATTGTAATAACTATGTATCATGTCAGATGGGTACTAGATTTATTGGGGTGATCACCTTGTAAGTTATATAAATGTCTAATTACTATGTTGTACACCTGAAACTAACAATATTTTATGTCAACTGTAATTGAGGAATAAAAAAAATTATCAATAAAAATAATTTTTAAAATGCAAGATAGTGATATCTGTTGGGAAATTCATCTGATAGTTCCTTTAAGAACTTACATATCACATCTCACAGAAACAGAACCCAACATTTTCTTATGAAAAACAAAACAAAACAAAAATCAATGCTTTATAGTTTACCACTACAATATAACTAGCTTATTTCTAAGTTTCAAGACCAACAAGAAAAATATTAGACAAGGGAATTACAGACATTAGTAAAAAGGACACTAGATATTAAATAGTTAAAGTCCACTGTTTTATAAATGAGTAAACTGAAATAGAGAAGTTATAAATAATTCATATAGCTAATCTATTTTTTGATGGAACAAAGTCTGGAGCTTCTAATTAAGTAAGCTTAACTAAATGCAAATTGAGGTAAGAGGCCATCCATCTTACTCAACTTTTTATGTTATCAGAAAATGGGTTCTTGTATGTGCCCTAACTGGGGATCAAACCTTCAACCTTGACATATTGGGATGATGCTCTGACCAACTAAGCTACCCAGCTAGGGTGCAATATACAGATCATGTATCATAAAAATGTACACTTGAAACTTATAAGATCCTATTAACTAATGTCCCAATAAATGTAATTTAAAAAGAAAAATGGAAACCAGAATAAAGAATAAACTATGTAAGATGCTCATGTTCTCACAGGAACAAAAGAGAAAGGGGGGGGGGGTGAGGGGAATCCCCTGCTAATTTAAACTACAATACATCATCAAGTACCCATACTATTGATGAAGACATGTAAATATGTCTAATAATATCAAGTATTGTCAAGAATGCATAACAACAAAGTACTTATACAATACTAGAAGAACTGTAAATTGGTACGACCCCTTCTGAAAACAGATCAGCATTACCTAGTAAAGCTAAACATGCAAGTACCCTAGGACAATGTTATTCAACTCCTAGTTATGTCCTAGAGAAATTATAAAAGATGTTTGCAAGACTGCTTATAGCAGCACTGTTTGTAACAGTAAGAAAACTACAATGTAAACGTCCACTAATCGTAGAATGTATAAATAAACTGTGGTTTATTTGTGCATGGAATACTCACAGCAATGAAAATTAATGATTACAGTAGATATAATGCCAATGGTGATCTTAGAAATGTTGAATTGGTGTTTGTTTTTTTAAATTAAGTCACAGAAGACTATAAACACCATCATTCTATTTTTAGTTCAAAAACATGCAAGACTAAACAATAAATTGTCTAAAGACAAAAATATGTGGCAAAACAAAAACATAATATTATTTTAAAAATTCAAAATAGTAGTTATAGAGAGGAAACAGGATGAAATAAAAGAGAAATACAGAAAGACTTCAAAGTTATTGGCAATTTTCCTGAAAAAAGGGTGGTGAACGCATAGTAATTAGGGCACTACTTATCACATTTTACAGATATTTATTATATAAATATTCTTTTGTACCTATTCAATATTTCATTAAAAAGTTGAAAGGGGGGAGCCATGTGTAAGACAGTTGCCCTTTTCCTTTATGATGTTTGCTTTATTGTCACCTCCTTCTACTCTTCATCTAGAGCAGTGGTTCTCAATCTGTGGGTCGCGACCCCTTTGGGGGATGAACGACCCTTTCACAGGGGTCGCCTAAGACCATCGGAAAACACATATATAATTACATATTGTTTTTGTGACTAATCACTATGCTATAATTATGTTCAATTTGTAACAATGA